TTTTATTTTATTTTATTTTATTTTATTAATAAAATGTGCCACAAAATAAGGAACACAACCTGACTGACAGAGTAAGTAGCAAGTATAGTACAACAAAGAAGTGAAAGACAGGAAAGTATAAAAAGAGAAAACAAGATAAAGTAGAAGGATAGGAAAAGATTTGGAAAGAGAAGGTTCTATACAAGAAGGGTCCAGGTACATCTCTCTGTCATTTTCCAGTTTCTCAGATGAATGGCTACACTTTTCTTATACTACTTCTTTCAGATCGGTCTTGAGGAGCCAGTAAGAAAGGTAATTGCATTTAATTTGGTCCTCCTGGCATCCTCAAAGTAGTAAGGCCAAAAATGATGGCTTTGAAGGAAATAGTTATTTGGATCAAAGTTGATACCGTTTTTTAGAAACAATAGGAAAAGTATGCTATTTCTGTCTACACTCTGCTGGACTTTAATAGGTAGTGCTCCAAACTTGCATCTTTTTTCCTTCTTGGATAAAATGAGCATACTGAATTTAAGAGTGGAGAATTTTGGCATGTACATATATGAAAACTGTACTCATCTGAACATAGTCTGAGGTCAAGATGATATTAATGGATCAGTCAGTGTAAAAATCTCAGAGTCCTGTCCCATATTCATAGCACTGCAGATTATTAAAGTGAAATAATTTAGGAACTCTAATATAGTTTTCATTCTAAGCTTTACGTTTTTCAAATTTTCCCATCCATAACAGCAAAAAGAAGTGCTTATTTACATAGGAAATATATATTGGAATAAAATAATGTGTGAATTTAAAACATTCTAGTTGTACTTATTTAGTATCTTATGATAATATTTATTCTGGAATATGCATGATATGTTCTGGATTCAAATGGAGAATTAAATGAGACTGTTTAAATATTCCAGTATAAATAGAATTTTTTCTGTTATTTTTTATAATTTCTACCAGAAATTAAAGGTCAGTAGATTAAAAGTATACATTATTTTGTACATGACTGTCATGGTTTAGCCCCAGCCGGCAACTAAGCACCACGCAGCCAATCACTCACTCCCCCTCCCACAGTGGGGCGGGGGAGAGAATTAGGAAAAAAACCTCGTGGGTTGAGATAAACACGGTTTAATAGGACAGAAAGAAAGAAGGAAATAACAATGATAATACCAAAAAAGGAATGTTCAAGAACAAATGATGCCCAATACAGCAATTGCTCACCTCCCGGTGATCGACAGCCCGTCCCCGAGCAGCGATTCCCGCCCCCCGGCCAACTCCAGTTTATGTACTGGGCATGACATTGTATGGTAGGGAATATCTCTTTGGCCAGTCTGGGTCAGCTGTCCCGGCTGTGTCCCCTCCCTTGTCCGCCCGTTGCCCCCTCCCAGCCCCCCGTGCACCCCCAGCCTGCTCGCTGGCAGGCCAGCACAAGAAGCTGGACTGTCCTTGACTGCTCAGCAACAACCCAAAACATCAGCACATTATCAATGGTTTCTCATCCCAAATCCAAAACACAGTCTCACACTAGCTTCTGTGAAGAAAACCAGCTCTATCCTGGCTGAAACCAGGACAATGACTTTTTTTAAATGTCACTGATATGGTCCAGTAATTTTTATGATTTTTGTAGGAATTTGCTTCTGTGATTCCTTCACAGTTAGTGTTTAACAGTTAGAATATGAAGTAATTTTTCAACTTCTGGAGTTTATTTTTTATTTGGGCTGTTTTGTGAAGAGGACAATCATATGATTCCAGATAAATATCTATCATTTTACCACCTATTTTGAACACAGTGGGTAACATATTCACCTAGGTGTATATAAAAGGATTAAGAACTCTTAGGAAATTGTGTCTTCCTTCTATTAGAGCTTATACAGGAAAAATTCACTTAATATAGTGATGCAGGCTCAGGACAATGGAATGTTGGGCAAACTTCAATATAAGAAGGCACTCAGTTCAATTATGAGGCAAAATAAAGCTTATGCAGTACAGCAATGAAATAGAACAATTTTCCCTTAAATTGTATGCTATTCAAATGTATTTTTAAGTGCCTCAAACTGAATAGAATCTTCTTGTGAGAGAGGGACATAGTAAAGGAAACTTCACAGACAGGAAGCAGATGAAAAAGAACTAAACACACACACACACACACAAAAACACGACTCCAAAGAAGAGCATGAGTAGATAAAAGGGGGCGTGTAAGTACACAAAATATATTTTAAAAGGACAAAGATGTTAATAACTGGGTGGTGTTACAATAGGTAGAAACATGCTGTCTACCATAGTTTCTAGAGAAATAACAGCAAATAATTACAGCATATTTTATAGCTTTTCATTAAAAAATAGAACAGATCCATCCACCTATGATTTGCTTTTGATAAAGACAAGTTCAAGTAGGTTACTCTGTCGAGATGAATCTCTTTCCTTGTCAATTCCTGCATATCTGATGGTGTTCTGAAGGTAGTACAGGCTTATTCCTACTCACTATATAATCTGACCTAAAAGTAGAGGCTACATTTTTTCTCCCTCTGTAAAAATAATAATTCATTTTTTTGCCAAGTCCAGTTCTCCTTTTTCTTGGTGAAAATAATTATAAAAGACTTCAATTGAAAATATAACTTCTTTGCGGTTGAATTTAGGGGAAAAATGGATGATAAAATCCAGATTAACAGTGACATCTAAGTCATGTCGGGGTGGGGGGACCTAACAACCAAAATACGTGCTGATAGTTCATTATTATAAATATGATTTCATCATCCAAGGCTGAAACTGATTTAGGCAATAGTTGGTATTGCAGTTAAACTTTGTGTTATACTGAGCTGTTGTTTAAATTTTTAGGGTTCTGCTGCTCGAATGGACCATGAGACAGCCAGTGTTATGAGCTCTAGTAATAACTATTCTGTTCCTCGCAGACTGACAAGTCATCTGGGTACCAAGGTAACCGAAGATTACAAACCACAGGTTGCTAATGCTACATTTTTGCTAATACAATAACCTCATTATCTCTGCCAATAGTGCCAATATTAGCTGAATGATCAATAAGGAAAATTTGATTGCAAGAAATTGAGTACCTAAAAAACTTGTGATGTTGATGCATAATCCATTATGAATACTAACCCTTTTAAAAGCTGTTCTTGGAATACTTTACTGGAGTCTGAGTCCTCAAAACAGATGGTGTTGCTAAGAAATTTAAACAAACAAATAAATAAGTAAATAAATAAAGTTACGTAAGCCCTTGATGGTAATAAATGTCTGTTCCTTGTCTCTATAGTAATTCACATAATACGATGTAGAATAATGGAGAATGGAAAATGCTTGTCATGACTAAAATATTTGAATTGAATAATCATTGAAAATCGGAAATGTGAAGGGACTTTGAGGAGATCATCTAATATATCACCCAGTAATGCATTAATTTTATCAAAAGCATTCTTGACAGCACGTGAAAGCTGTCTAACCTATTGGTAAAAGCTTTAATGATAAGCAATCTCTATCAATTTTTCAGTTTTTGCTATTAAAATTTTTATTATCTAACCTAGATCTCCTTAGCTGCAACTTCCTTTTTCTCAATGGAAATAAGAGGTACTCTTTCCATCTTTTGAAGCAAACTTTTATATATCTGCAATGTATTCTAAAAAGTTACTAAAAAATAGAGATGAAGCTTGATATACAATAGCAAGTGTACTCAAGATATACAAGTAGCATGAAGAGAGGAAAAAAGGGCTAATCTCTGTACTAATGTACTCATCTTCAGAGACATTAGAATAGCCTCTGAAGAAACCAAATAAAAAAGTTGATTGGTCTGGTAACCAGTGCAAAACTGTAGTTATTATTAGAAAACTTTGTATAACAGTCTGCAAGTCTCATTTCTACCTTAGTTGGTATATTTTAAAGAAGCACACCCACTGCTACTTTGCAATTCCCTTTGATAGTTTCTTTACATTGTGCTATGATTTTGAAATTTGCTGTATTCTTGGCTTTAGGAGTTTGAGGTTTCTAGATAGTATCTAATATTACCTTGTACATCATATTGTTCTACTAAAAGTTCACTAAAAGAACCAAACCAAATTTCTCAATCTAAAGCTATTACTGAAGAAAACAGAATGCAAAAGACAAACCAAATAGTGCATTGACCACTATATTATATGGCAGCCAAAGGAACCACTCAAAAATTGCTATTTTTTAATTTGAAATTTGGTTGCTCTGAGTTAAATGTGTGATGCTGGTTTTTCATAGCTTGATTTAGTTGGACAAATGCTTAGTACTTTATACTGTATATATTAAATGAGCATTTGTTTGCTCCATTGGTTTTATCCCTGTAAACTTGAAGAAAGTGTTAAATTAACTCTTCAATTTTGCATTAGCTGTAAATAATCGGACCTATATGAAAATCATTCAACATATCAAAAATTCATTGGTTAATTTGAAACAGTTTTAATGGAAAACATTAAAATATGTGTGTGGTGGGTTGGCCCTGGCTGGACACCAGGTGCCCACCAAAGCCACTCTGTCACTCCCCTTCTTAGCTGGACAGGGGAGAGAAAGTATAACGAGAAGTGTGTGGGTCGAGATAAGGACAGGGAGAGATCATTCACCAATTACCATCACGGGCAAAACAGCCTCAACTTGGGAACATTAATTTAATTTATCCCCAATCAAAATCAGAGTAGGATAATGAGAAATAAAACCAAATCTTAAAACACCTTCCCCCTATCCCTCCCTTCTTCCCGGGCTCAACTTCACTCCAGATTTTCTCTACCTCCTCCATCCCCGAGCAGCGCAGGGGGATGGGGAATGGGGGTTGTGGTCAGTTCATCACATGTTGTTTCTGCCACTCCTTCCTCCTCAGGGGGAGGACTCCTCACACTCTTCCCCTGCTCCAGCGTGGGGTCCCTCCCATGGGACACAGTCCTCCACAAACTTCTTCAACATGAGTCCTTCCCACAGGCTGCAGTTCTTCACGAACTGTTCCAGCCTGGGTACCTTCCACC